CTTTATATTTAGTTTAATTAAATATATAACTATATAATAAAATATTTATTTTATAATATAAGCTTTTTATTATTTTTTTAATATTTCTTTAAGCTATATAATTTTATATAGCTCTTATAATTAAATCTTTTAATTATTCTTTATCCTATTGGTTAGTTATTTATCCTCTCTATTAGCCAATTACAGCACTCAAACCAAGGGGGCGGTACAGAGGTCACGTGTTAATAGGTGTACCGGGTCCGGTACAGGTATGGGTTCCCCAACCATGCCCGGGGTGCAGGTGGATCTCGCTTCACTCACACGGTAAACCTCAGGCACCAACCTCAGCCCCACCCACAGAATCAAGTGTGAAAACCAAACCCTAGAAGCGAAATTCCTCGAAACAAGTGTACTGCATTTCGATACTCTATCACCATTTGGCAACGACTGACCGACTCGACCATCAACGCCGTCACCATGCCGGTATGAAAGCCCCTATCTATCGCCCTCGGAAGCACGCTCTCGCTCTCTGCATCATCGACAATGGAATTCTGCATCGATTAAATACATTTCCCGCCGCGTCCGTCGATGATGAAAATGAGTCGCATTCTCTCGAGGGCTCTGCTCCCATGACACCGGATCGCTAATTATTCCTTTTCACACAGAGCCACAAGTCTTTCCGAACCAAGCAGAAGCTTGCCAAGGCCCAGAAGCAGAACCGCCCTGTGCCTCAATGGATTCGCCTCCGAACTGGCAACACCATCCGGTGCGTTTTGAGTCCCCCTTCGAGACGACAACTTGACGACTCTACCAGTCCGCCCGCGGGCAGAGTAACCCTTGGCTAACATTCCGAAACAGCTACAACGCTAAGCGAAGGCATTGGCGCAAGACCCGCATCGGTATTTAAACCGATGGTCCTCAACTGTTACCCGCCCCCAAAGCCCAGCAACCGACTTTTCTCTCTTGGGCATGGTATCACGATGATTGATGTGAGCTGAAAAGGGGAGGAACGATATTGTTGTGGCGTGAACTGAACTAAGGGGCCGTGTCGGCACTGCACTGCGCGTGCGCACGGGGGCGATGGGCCGGTTGCCTGGTTTATCGATTATTGCCGGTTACTGCATGTCACGGATGGTCATAGGGAAAAAGGAATGCAAAGACTTTGATGCCCCAAAAAAGAAAACGGGCCTGAACTACCTAGTACATGGATGCAGTCTATCTCGCCTGTGAACGACGACAACGCAAATGTTGGCTCTTGTGTGCTGTCTTTATTACCAGCAGACTGTATGCTGTTATGCATGTCTTCACGTACCTAGTCAAATGAACGAATCACGCCCCAAGCCTCTACCCCCACTTCCACCAATGTATTCATCACAGACCTCGAGCTGCCCACTGCATAACTGAACGTCTTGACAACACCGGGTTTGATGGCAATCATGAATTAAAGTCTTTGAGTTAAGTCGAAATGACTTTCTACCAGTGCTTCCAAGTGTAGGATTTGAAGCCCGTGTTCAAATACGGCCAGAGGAGCTGCATCCCGTAAAGAGCCTGCCTCGAACAATATCATGTTACCGTAAGCAATCATATTTGTGCTCCTGCGTGCCAAAACACTGGCCCAAGCAACCCGGAAAAACAAAACTGTAACGCCTAATACGACCCCTGTGACTCGTCAAGATTCATATGATCCTGGATTGAGAAGGCTCGACAGGAAAGTTTCCTGCGACTCATGACCCAAGGATCGATCCACGCCGCAGTCCGACTTGCACTTCCCCGCAACCTCTATCCATAATCATACACAAACGGGAGCTTAACGATCCTCAGCCCACTCATTTTCCCGGCGGATCTGCTCCTCCTCCTCGGGAGTGAAGTCGTTCGTAATGTTGAAAGTTTTGCGGATCTCCTCGGGAGACTTGCCCTTGATCATGTTGGCAACGGTCTTGCAGCCAACGTCAAGAAGAGGCTTGATGTCGAGGTAGTTGGATGCCTGTCGTGAAATGTTAGTCTCTGATGATTTGATAAATAGGAATGGGTGGACGCACGAGGATGATTTCAAACAGCATCTCCTGATCAACCTGCATGAACTTCTGGTCCCACTCTTCGATATCTGTAGTCTTCTTCCGGGCGTCGGAATCGTCATCCTGTGCTTGGAGGGGATCGGTGCGATGGTGGTCGCACCACTCAATCACCTTGCGAAGAACGGCCTCGTTCACCTAAAGAACTACATGTCAGTCGTGAAAAAGTCAAGTACAGAAGGAAGTACATACGTTGGGGATAGGAATAGGGTTTTCAGCATTGATGCCCTCATCACCGATATCTTCCAACATGTTCTTGATCAGCATGGATCGCTCGGCAACGACGCGGTCTGTTGATGTTAGTTAGGAATGTGAGCAAGAACCGTCGCAGAGTGTCTCTTCAACTTACCGACTTCAATAATAGCGCTGTCATTAGACGCCAGCCAGACCTTCTGTGTAGAGGTAGATTCGGCCATTTTGGGTATGTTTGTGGTTCGTGTTAGAGTAACTGGTGATGTAAGTAAGAGATTTGTTGGGTTGCGAAGAGAAAATGCAGAGAGGATTCGTGATTGTTTTTGGGTGATGATGGAAGTTGGAGGAGTCAGCTAGGTAGGCACCTAGGCAAGTAGGTAGTGGAGGTTAGGTAACCAACCGACCAATAAACCAATCACTGTGGCGGGGTAAAAGGTAGGCTGAGGTGGGTGCCTCGTCAATGCTGAGGGCGTAGACTACGTACCTAGAGGCAGGGCTGTGAATCAGACTCGGGACCCTTTCCTTCAGATGGGGCTTAGTGAGATAAGATAAGCGGGTTGATGGAGTTGATGGAGTTGATGGATTCCGAAGAAGCTTGTTGAGTATGAAGAAATGGCTTTGATACTGGTGGTTGTGATGATGGTGATGATTGTGAGAGTAGAGAGATCCAATTCGGTGGGAGGAATCGGGCATTTATATCAGTGAATTTCAGAGTGCTAAGGTTTACTTTATAGGAAGTGAAGTGGATCTGCGCTGCTGCTGCTGCCTTGAGAACCTGAAATAACCTCAAAGACTACTAACCTAACAAAGGGAACGAACAAATTTGAAAGAGTCAGACGGCAACCTGAAGTTAGAGGTCATGGTTGGCACGAACCTACAGGGCGCGAGCGGGTTTAATTGGGCGGCTTGAGAACTATCATATCGTCGTCAGTGGACAAAGGAATTTGGCTATTTAAAGGTTTATTTAATCTGTTTAAAGTGTAAAATACCTAGACTTGTACTACGAACAAATGCTTTGTTCGCATCCAAGTATCGGCACATTGCGTTATTGTTTAAGCTTCTAGAAAACTTCTCTTATTTTACGTCTTGATTGTAACTTGTTCAAAAGACACACGTACGCATGCTTCATTCACGGTATTGCTATGCAGTCTTGGGCACATTGATACCAGGCCTACCCAAGCATCCAGGTGCAAACTGCACTTATTCCAAATCCAAATAATAAGCCACCACCGGAGCGGACACTCATAACTATAAGTCACAGAGCTTGTTCCCATTTGAATTCAATCAGAACATTCAAGTCGGTTCTCTATCTCCCCTCCCCCCCCCTCCTTTCACCGAGCTCTAAGACACAGGCACCTGCCTACTAGGTAGATATGTGTGATGGAGCTCATCGCATTCTTTTGTCCACGGTCAGCAATGGCAAGCTACTCCTCAAGGCACCTCAGACTGTATTTGAGGCCACAATGCTTGTCAGTGCGATGAACAAACCCGAGACGATCAGGATACTGCAGCGATGGAATACTCATTGGAATCGTCACGAGCGGGCGCACCATTGGATTGGTTCCCAAATTTTGGCAAGGGAGAGAACAGAACAGTTGTTGGCAAATGGCTTCAAGACACCGTCAGTGCAAGAGCAACTACCTACCCATTGGAATCAACCTTGTCATCCCTTATTAACTTCGTGGCGTCTGGCCATCCCAAAGCTTCTTTTGTTGAGTCGAAGACCGCAAAAGAGAACAATCATGATCATGTTGCTCACAGGTGGATCAACAAATCATGAGAAGGTCGTGCAATATTCTCAACCGTCTTCAGTGCCGAAAGGGGTTAACGCAAGCATGGTCAGGCAGTGTTTGTATGCTGTCCGTGCCCGTTCCGTGATAAACAGCAAGCGGATCATCACAAAGAATACAGTAGAGACGGTATTGCAAGTGGGATGTTGATGTTCTAAGTTACGATGTTGCTCTCAACATCGTACAACAAAGGCGGTGATGTCTCATCGATCTACAGACAGATCCACATTCGAGACACCAGTGGCATGCATAACACAGCCATTGAACCCATCTTTCCCCTCATCCCACCAAATAAACACCAGTTGATGGAACCCCCAAATGCACATGAGGGTTCCAACTCATCGGTAGGATGATCTTTTACACGAATCCTAGATTGACAGCCTTTGAAGGCATCCTGCAGACCCGCGGCAGTATCCGTACTCGAGCTCGCTTCCGGCAGCTAGCAATGCATGGGCATTGTCTTGTACAAACGGCACGGATATATATCATTGCAATCATGCGACTTTCTAGGTGTGGGCGATGGGTCACTCGCGGAACGGGACTACTAGGTACCTTGGAAACTTGGGTCCTTGATCCTAAATAACAAAAAGACTTGGGTAAATGAGCATAACTTTAGAATACCTTTTGACAAGTTAATTTTGACACCCTACCTATATCAAAGTCTGATGTTTTTCTTGCTCCCCGAGGCGGGAGTACCTACTACCTAACACGTGTTGACTTGGAAGCCCGTGAGGAAAAACAGGTCCTGACATTGAATAGGTAATTGTCCACTAGCTACTCTGTAATTCCCATTCGATTCAATACCAGGATCACCATCTTCGTGGTAATCGTCCCAGTTGGTGGCTGGAAGCTGGCGTATCAGCGGCCACGATGATTAGATCTTTTATTGCAACCTAATGGGCCTATGTAGCGCTGGTCAGGATACCTCGAATTGGATTGCCATCAACAGAGCCGCTCGCTCGTCGTGTTATCATCCTGGCGTTTATTCATAGGTCACCGTGGTAGCTTGATTTGGCTCCGGGATATAGAATTATAAGAATGCCTCGATAAATCACTTGTCCCAGCCATAGGCCACCAAACATAAAAGAATGATATTATTATGTTAGATCGGGGCTTTCAGGAGGCCTGTTCGTCCGGTTGGGCTGGGCTGTCTGTCAAACCTCCCGTGCTCCCAGAAATCGTCTCCCCCTGTCTTGACCCGTCAGTTCTTGTCAGTCTAGGTAGGGAGCTAGGGAGCCCAAGCCCCTAAAAGAAAAAAGCTTCTAGCGGACGCAGTGGACCTCATCATCGTCAGTCCCTTCCCCTAGCCTTGGGATCCAGCTACTAGTGCCGCCAATCCCGGATCACGGCGTTGTCTCCCACTGGCCACGTTGTAAACTGGCGCTTCCCCTGGGCTTGAAATGTTTCCCCTTGGGTCATCCACTAGGCCCTGTCCGTTAATTATGTACCTAGCTTGCGTTCTCGAGACGAGTCGAGTCGAGCTTCTGTGATGAGGTTTGGTTGTTAATCCTTGATCCATGGAGTGGCCCCCTTCAATCCATCCATGCCCTTTTGTTGAACTCATTCAGTGGGCGAAGAAACCCATATCCCGGGCATGGAGCTGACTGTCTCTGGTGGGGGGTAGACAGTATCCGCAAGTGTCAGTCACTCAAACGGAACCTGATCTCCATACGGGCTTGCTTCACCTTCACCTACACATGCACCACCTACTCATACATACATCAGTCTCGCATTTCCTCTTTCATTCTTGTTTCGGTTCATTGTCCCCTTCTCTTCCTATAAATAATTTTCTGACTTGGGGGATTGTCTCGCATATTCGTCGATCTAACAATAGACCATCATAAATCTTGCATCTTCCCTTTCCACCTCCACGACTCGAAGCTCTTCCAACAGCATAACGTACATATCAGCCGCCGCATAACGATCCGAATCCAATCTGTTCAGCTCGAATTTCCTGCGACGGGCGAAATTTTGACACTTTTCTCTACTTCCCCCACTTTGCGATTGCGGCGGAGCGCATCGAGTCGAAGCGCTCACATTCAGCCTTTGTTTATGCGAATACTCGATGCCTTTTCCCCTCGAAACTAAGCTCATGATTGCTCTCCCAATTCACAGCTGCTAAGATCAACTATGTGGCGACGAACATATCTCACGCTCGTCCTAATAAGGCTGTGGTTTGCGCTATCTCCCAGTTATTTACATCCGGACGAGAACTTCCAAGGACCCGAGGTCATAGCTGGTATGTTTCTCTCTACGCCAGCTCCCAGATGCCCTCCTGTTGAAATGCCTGCATTTCCAGATGATGCATTTCGATGTCCTCTGTGTTCACGCAGACTGCCACTGCGAGTCCAGCTGCTAATTCGCGCCAGGCCAAATCTTTAGTTATCCTGTTCGACACACTTGGGAATTTACAAGCGAGAATCCTATCCGTAGTGTTTTCCCACTATGGCCCGTCTACGGTCTTCCTATGCTTCTCCTGCGGTGGCTATGGATCGGTAACGGCAAAGACGGAGAGATCCCACCCATTGCGGTTTTCTGGACTCTGCGCGTTCTCATGTTTGTCATTAGCTTTGTTCTTGAAGATTGGGCGTTGCATGAGTTGATCCCGTCACCGAAGCATCGTCGTGTTGCCGTTCTCCTTGTTGCCTCGTCCTACGTGACCTGGACCTATCAGACGCACACGTTCTCCAACTCGGTAGAGACACTCGTTGTTGCGTGGAGCCTTGTTCTGATCCAGCGAGTCGCTGATCCACGGGTTCGTTGCTTGCACACCATCACCACTGATAAGACTATCAGCTGACTTCAAATTCGACACACAGCAGCGGTCATGTGTTTTGTCTGCCACAGTGCTTGGAATAGTTGGAGTATTCGGTGTATTCAATCGAATCACGTTTCCAGCATTTCTTGTTGTTCCTGGACTTCGACTGCTCCCTGTGTTCTGGAAGAGGTGAGTCACCCTATTTGCGCTTGGCGCGGAAATGCATGAACAAGCTAACACATCCACAGGCCTACGTCTCTCGTATCCCTGACGTTAGCTGCGGCACTGACAACTGTCATTGCCATCGGTCTGGACACCGCGTTTTACCTGCCAAGTCCCATTACATGGGCCGACCTGATCCATAAACCTGTAATCACACCCCTTAACAACTTCAAGTACAACTCAGCAACCGAGAACCTGGCGCAGCATGGCCTTCATCCTTGGTACCAGCATTTGGTGGGAAATTTGCCGTTGCTGCTGGGCCCAGCTGCAGCTCTTTTGATAATCAGACCCAAAATATCCATCCGACTATGGTCGGCAGTGTCCGGTTTGGTGGTACTATCGGCGTTTCAACATCAGGAGGCGAGATTCTTGCTCCCAACGGTACCACTATTTCTCTCGTCAATCCGCATGCCCCGAAACCAAACAATACTCTACGTCTTTACGGCAGTTTGGA